TAGTAACAAGTGCCTTACTACTAGTAACAAGAAGCTATTAGAAACAAATCCCACCCGGGACTCGACCCGACCAGGTGGCGACCCTCCGACCCGACCGGACCGCGCCTTGACGAAGCACTTGGCGCCGACGCTCTTCGCCGGCTCTTCGGGACGGCGTCGCAGCAAGCCATCCAGGTAGCCTGGCGGTGGGAACGCGGTGGGAACTGCGGTGGGTGGCTACCTGGAGCAGTTTTTCAACAGCTCCGCCGGTGCCAAGTCAAGTGTTTGGAGTCTAGCGAAAGGGGGAACATAGCGAATGTTGGGTGACCTGAGAAGGCTTTCTTTGAAGGAAAGCTGGGACATGACCGAGATGTTTTGACCTTTGAGATTCGGTTCCAGAACAAAAGAGCTATAGGATAATTGTCACCACGAGACTTGTGGATTCCTGGTTCAACTTCTTGCTCAACAAAATTCATGACAAAATACTTGCCATTCCATTTCCTGTTACTGTACACCTCTTGCGGCTTGCATTGCGCGTTTCATTCCACGTTTTGGGGCATACTACAATTTGGTACATAGTGTATGCAATCGTTTCTGTGAACCCCCCAAAACATCTAAGTCATCCAAATTTGTCTCAGAAAAACAGGAGGAGTTTCGCCCTCCGAAAAAGACGCTTTGGGCAAGTCTTCAACAGTAAAAGAGGAAGATCTACGGGAAAACACGGCTTGAGCCCCCGCACGCGCGACATTTTTCGACCTCTCCCTTGACAGGACCGTGTCTGGGCCCCCCCCACGCACTTGGGATTGGTCGCTCAGTCGAAGGAGAGCCCCACGAGGCGTGAGCATCTGCACTTCACCTCAGGCCCGGCTGCGAAGATTCACCGCAGGCCGGATGTGGGGGTTTCCTAACCCTTGGATTCCACTCGATTTGATGGTTCGAATGCCGATGAACAATTCTTTTTTACGGCATGAAGATTTTGCACTACAAAACCAGGTCTGTCCCATTTGTTTAAGATGCTCGTAGAAGGCTACGGTAGAAAGGAAGTTAGTGGAGCCTGCGGCCAAAGACCTGCCATGTTTGTAGCCAATGTCTTGAAAGGGCTCGGTAAGCGAAAGCGAGACGTTGATTGATCCGGACCCGAATTCGTGTGGTAGGACACTCACTTGTTGCTTCATCACTGAGCTTCAGCGTGCTTGGACATCTTGGAACAGACACACACACACACACACCCAACCCAGAGCAAAGGACTGCCCCTTCAGAACTAGACACTACACCTGGATACCCTTGAAGAAATGCGACTGTGTGACCGAAAACAACTGAACTTAGTGTAGTATATAACGTACCTAATCAATCATTTCGAGGCTTCTTCACGATGCCAGTTTCTGTTCCATGGAGTGTCAGGGCGCCGGTTCCGAACGCCCGACCCTCCCTCCACGTGCGATGCATCGGTTGAGTTGCCAGTGAGGACGCTGTGCAGTGTCGGAATCATCGGAGCAGCCTCCGGAATGAGCATCGAGCCTCGCACGCACACCGCGTGCTGGGCCGACCGAGAAGAGAAGCTTCTTTTGGTTGTCTATGACATGGTGGTGATAGACATGGGTTTCAAAAATGATTCAAAGGGATTCAGATGATCGAATGTTCAACAGATTGATCGAGTGAAACATAGACATCTTAAAAACAAATACATGATATACAAGAAATTACCAGTATACCTTCCACGGGGTCTCCAATGCAATACTCTACACCACTTGTGGGTCTCCATTGGACACCCCTTTGAAGGTCCAGGTATACATTCATGATCTGTATATATATATAACTATATATTATATATATATATGCAAAGAGAGTTCGCTAGACTGCGTCGTACGTCCAGTGACTTCCGTATCACCACTGGTGTTTTGCTCTAGGATCGGGTCCAAAAGCAGGAGCTGATAGGTTTTGGTCTATCTGTTCCATAAAGGAACAGTGAGTTTGGATTGGTGAATTTGTGAACATCCACAAGATTCCACAAGTAGCTACATGCATGTGGAGTCTTGTGTGCACGGTTGTCAGAATGTCCCGTGGTTCCCTTGGCAGGGGGGATCATGGTTGACAAGTTACTAGTCCCACATGGGTGAATGATGATTCATCATGATGCATCCATATTCATCCATATTCATTCCACCTGATGACCTCAAATTCGTGCAATTCCGGATCATTCCGGGTAACCTTCGATTCTCTCGCAAAAAACCGCCGCTGGCTGCTGGAACAGCCGTCGTTGCTGTTCGGTGACACCCACATGCTACTCATCAAGTGCCGCAAGCCCAAACCCCAACTCAGGGAAGACCAGCAAGGCTGAACATCTTGATTTCCAAACAATCGCGAATACCCACAAACAAACCATATGATACATCCATCTTGCCTCCATTCAATTCCATACAGTTCACATATACTTCCTTCTAGTCTTGTCTGAACATCTCAAAATTCTTTCTCCGCCCCTCGTAGAGTTCCCCCACTGGTGCCTGGCGCTCTGAAGATGTTCGAAGGCTTACTGCTCGGAGCACTCTGCATGCTTGGCACACGACTCTGCATGCTTGGCGCATTTAGCATGCTTGCCGCATTTAGCATGCTTGGCATGGTCGGGTATGGCATACCTGAGCAGTATCAACAGCCCGATGCACCCAAATTCTGTGAGTGATGCCTGGGATCTCATTCTGACTGGTGCTTAGTAGGGAATAAGGGCATGAGATGGAATGAGCCCCGACTTTCGTCGCACCAGTCAGTATTTGGGTTGAGAACTCAGACTCTTTTCTGGATACGGCACTCCTCCTTGCATCAAACGTTGTGCTGGTTCCCAGGATGAGTCCCATTTTGCCGACTCCGACCGGTGGATGGAGAGCCTTCTCACAAACGAAAAGCCGGGATAGCTTTGTGAAGGAGCTAGTGAGGGGTGTCTCCTCGCACTCGCAGCGAAGACCCATTTGGTGAGAGCACAGAGACGGAGATTTCGTTTGGTGGTGAGCCAGCTTTGTAGGGTTTGGTATCTTCATGTATCTTCATTGCTCCACTGGAGTGAAAGATCCTCCACAGAATTCACGCTGGCTCATTGTATTCCCCAGAATCCCATCGAATCCAGTTAGTCGTTGGCATCACGATATTCGTATGCATCCAAATTCCACCACTCACAAGACGTGATGTTTGGTTCAGACCATACCGTTGCGATGAACACAGGCAACCCTGATGATGTCAAAGCTTTGCGCGAGAAGGAACGTGGAAGCGATGCGGCGATGCGATGCGAACGTGGAGGTGCTTAAGGAACCTGGAGAAAAATAGAACTGTTCCGCGTGCCAGGGGACCCATATAGGGAAAATACAAACTGATCCTAGGCAAAACCCTTCTCGAAGCTTCCTTTCTCGTCTTGTGCTGATCTGGTGTGCTGATCGTCTTTGCTCTTGCCAACAAACATCTGCTGCAATCATCTTTTGGTCATTGAACAACTCTGTAGATTGAAGAAATGTGTGGAGATCACAAGATCACAGTAATCATCCCAATTAAGCCCTTCGTTGATACCAAAATTGACATCACCACCTGGAGGTATGCGTTGACCACGTCATCTCCTGCATCAAGGTCATTCCTCCAACCCTCTTGTTGCTCACTGCACCAAGCAAGTGCGGCAAGTGGCGATTTCTGAGAGTCAGAGACCACAACAAACCTGGTCTTGAAAGGGGACTTTTTCAAGGGAACATCTGCAGTCTGACGAGTCTTTGGACCTTCTGACGAGTCTTTGGACCTCTAGAAGTTTAGGGTTCTACTTCCGACTTCCTGACTCTAGTATAGGTCCCTTCTGTCTCCTTCCTACCAATGCTGCAGACTTCCGAAGCTCTGGTCAGGTGCCACCCGTGACTCCCAGGGTACCGAGGGTACCTGCCCGATCCCCCACGGCGCCGGGAGAACAGATGTAGCTCGGAGGTGCTTCTTGTACCTGACGAAAAGAAAAGAGTTCGGATCAATCCTTCTTTCTTGGTCGAGTTATGACCAAGAAGCCTCTCGCTGGGGTTTTGGAGATCCAGGTCGGTGTCTTCATTGGGTACCAGGACACCTGGTATCCACCCGCCATAGCCATAGGCTCCATAGGCGCCATAGGCCAAGGACCTTGGAACATGTGTTCCACAATCTTCTGATGATTACACCTCTTCAAAGCAAGTACGGCTTGGTCACATGTAGATGAGGAAAATTAAAAAAGACCTGCAGCTCCCTGCCTGAGTGATCGAACTGCGAGCCTGCCTGGTTCAATCAATTGAACACATCTGAGATATTCTGAGATATTCTTATTAGCCATCTACTTAACTTTCACAAATACCAGCACCATCTTTCTCCTCCTCCTCCTCCTCGTTGTTGCTGGCGTTATCAGTTCACAACCGTCATCGTCGTCCTTGTCCTTGTCCTTATTGTCCTCATCCCTTTCCTTGTTTTCCTGCTCCTCCTCCTACTCAGCAGCATCGCCGCCATCATCATTTCATATCATCATTGCCATTGGTGTCTTCTTCTTCTTCTTCTTCCCCAGCGGAAGCGCTATCAACAGACAGAGTAGTCAGCTCTATTGAACATCCATTTCTGCCAACAATGTGTGAAAAATAACCTTGGTCATGGCTTGGTATATCATTACCAGGCCGAGTGAATGATGGGGCCTGGTTGCAGGCCAACATCTCAAACATAGTGATTATCATTGATTATCTGTTGCCCTTCCTGCTACTCTTCCACATCCATCACAGTCATTGAATCCCTTTCGGTCCCACAGCCGGCGGTCCGGACCGCCGATCTCAACTGCAAGCCGGGCGACATGGACATTGCTTGGGATGCACTCGCATCTGCTTGGTGCTTCCTGGCCTTCTTTCTGGGCCTCAGGACATCCAGCGACTTGTCAGGACATCAAGCACGCAAAGCCGGACAAGGATCGGCAGTTTCAAAGATGTTCACCGAACAGCATCAAACCAAAAGTCTCCCTCCTCTCTCCTCCTTGGAAAAAATCGAACTCCTTGGGCCCAGCCACCTCCGATCCTCCAAGAACCGATGGAAACCGACGGTGTTGTCTTGTCGAGCAATGTCGATTTCTCCGGACAACAACCGACTTCCTGGACCAACCCGGTCCGACCGATTTACGGCCAAGGGGCCTCTCCTCTGAACCTGCCGGAGCGAACGCAGACGGCGCAGGCTCGACGCAGACTGCGTGCGAGTCAAGCGAATCGTAGAAAACTGCCAACTGATGGAGCTCCTGGGGAGTATAGACACCACTGGGCTCAGCGAGCAAGAAACACAAGGGGAGTTTTTGCAGCAAAAACTGCTCCACCTGCAAAAACCTCGGCAGTCACTGCATGCCTGCAAAATTTCGGGACTTTGCTTTGCTTGACTCTGTGTGCAAGTGACAGTGACAGTGAAAGCAACACTACCAAATAAACCTGCCAAAAAAAATTGAAGGTGGGTGGACACGTGAGCCTGTGGGGGTTCTTGGTGGACAATGCTTTTTCGGCCGCCCACCAGACCACCTCGGCTCCTAAAGTGATGTGGGCTGGGACCCAGAGTCACTGGTACAGTAGAAGTTCTGAAAACACGGCCCTTTGAACATTCAGTACCAGCGGTTCGATGGCACTCTGACACCACTGGATTTTACCCTGAATCTTGGCTTGCGGCTTGCAGCATCCATGCTGGCACTTAGTTCTTTGAACCGTTTCATCACCCTTGCCAGATTTAGAAGGTCTTGGACTTCTTGACGCTCGGCTGTTCTCTGCGCTGCCTTCTTTGTGTTTCTTCTTTTTCTTCTTCTCCTGTCCGCGGCATCCGCGGCTGTTGGCTGCTCCACCACGCGCCGTTCCCACACGGTCGATCAAACAGAACACATGGAGTCGGAGAGTCCGAGAGTCCCGAGTCCCCAACCTCGGTGCCTCGGTGCATGGGACCACGGGGACCACGGTGCTGGCTGTTTTCGGTGCCGCTGTTTTCGGCGGAGGATGAGCTTGATAGAGACCTACATGTGGGTCTCAAGCAGGGAGACCTCCCAGATCGCCACGACCCGCCCTGGAAGAAGGAACATAGACCTGTCTACCCAGCCAGGTTGAGGATAGAAATACACAGCCATATACACCCCTTGTGTTCAACGCTTGACACGGCGGCCAAACCAGAACTAAGAACCAGAAACCCTACAAATCCTGACCAAGAAGGAGGAGTGCAGTCATCCCCCGCAGAAGTGATTTTGTGCAGGCTGCAAGACATTTTCAGTGGGACAAGTGATGACAGTCAAGGAAAGCGGGCAACTCATGACAAAATCAAGACAAACATCATCAACTATCTATCAACATCTGCGGAGGTATGTACTGTGTTCTCGCATCAAATTCAGTCTCATTCTCGTGCAAGAACCCACTTCAGCTCCCGCAGTTCGAGACGATCCGACCCCCCGGTCTATGAAAGAAACCATGACGGACCACCCAGTGGATCTCAGGCGTTTCAGTCCGTCAACAAAACGACAGACTCACAGGGTTTCGTGGAGTGAACACTCACCTGTTTGATCGTCTTGGATGAGAAATGAGGCAGTGTACGCGTAACCAGTCGATCGAATTGTTACCCATGGTTACCCATCAAAGAGTGCTTTGCCTGGATCGTGCTACGGCCTCAGTTGCACTGGACCCTTCTGGCTGAGGCCCTGAGTCCTAAGGGATGGCTTGTCTCGCTGACAGAGCAGGCAAGACTCAGCCCTGCAAGCAGATGGGAGAGAAAGAGCTTTCAACCCCTGACAGGCCCATCCGTTCAAAATCTCGCCGGGATGGAAGCATTCTTTCACGAAGGGGATTCGAGAAACCGTCAAAAGACCGCAGAATTTTCCTCGCCTTCTTCTTTCTCTTGGCATCGCGATACTCACCTTGCCAAGCCACACTGTTTTCCTCCCGCCCAAACAAGGCCAAACAGACCATAGACGTGTCTTCCCTTCATCTCCCATGGTTTGCCTATTGAACAAAGGTTAACAGACTTTCCACCTGTTCGTGCGCTGCGTGGGGTCTTGCCATGAAAGAAACGACCTGCTCCTCCCGATAGGACCAATCTCAGAAAGGTGGACCATGGGGCCCTAGATAGCTGGTCTTGGCTGACAGCTGTGGCTGTACCTACTTTTTTTGTAGAGTGTATCCCAGGGGTATACATTTCTTCAGGTCTTGGCTGACAGCTGTGCAACTATTCTATAAGTACCTCTCTTTGATGCTTCCGATGCCCAAAAGATGCTCAAAACGATGCCAATGGTCCGCTTGTTTCAAGCAGATGGTCTACAGTCTGCCCATCTAGAGTGGGTTCAGTTGAGTGAACACACCTCCCTACACCTATACACAAAAGCATGGGTTTATGTGGCATCCGCATTGAATCATGTTCATGTTCGTCAGGTACTGAAACCGCACACTTCGTCACCAGGTGACCAGTTCTGGTTGCTGCTATACCCCCTGTGCTCAGCAAGGAGTTTCGCTTTGCTGCCCGGGAAGAGACCGACATGGAACATCATTGAACCTGATGGCCCGGCGCAAGGAAGATGGATTTTCTTCTAGAACCCAGTGGTTCGCTCTGCTTCCGATGTGGGTTCTAATTCATTTCTTGAAATTACGGTCTTTTGGTCTTTCCCTTACGGCCTTTTTTCCTTTCCCAATGTGGGTCCTCCTTCCTCTTCCTCCACGCCTGGAGCCACTTGCTCCTCCTCGTACTCGGGTGAGGGTGTCTTCAAGCGTACGGCCTCCGCCTGTTCGTCTCAGCTGAAAGGCGAGGAAGGGAAGAATCGCCGGCTCACGGCTTAAAAGGGGCGACCACAAGCAGTGGTCTACATGACTTGGGTATCTCCCATTCCCTGGGCCCAGTGGATGATGCTGGGGCCTGATTGCAGGCCTGCAACTCCAAGATCGTGTTCTTGTTTACCGACTGTTACAGGTAATATGGGACTCTCACAATACATGACAGTCTCAACCATGGCTTGTGAACAGTCTGAAGATGAGCCCTCTATAGAGTCCTCTTCAGTCCTTCTGCCCAGTCGACATTCGATTGACCATCATTAGCGAATCCTTGAGTCCACATGGTCTGATCGTGGTGGAACTGAGGTGAATTGAGGTTTCACATGGTGAAACACCATTCTCTTTCCACTTGGCCCAGGAACCGGAACCTCGGAACCTCTGAACCTCGGCCTCATCATACTCGGCCAGGACCTCATCTGAGTCCTGGCTGCTGGCTGGTTGAGCCTCTTGGCCTAAAATCCAGGGGTTTGAACTGGAAGACGTCAAGTTTTTGATACTCAATCAATCTCAATCATATAGATGTTGTTGCAAAGGAAGAAGCCTTATCACGGCCTATTTGGAGGCATTTCGCAATCAGTGGTATTCTGGCGGGATTCCGGGCCAAGGTCGTCCTAGACCTCCGAGTAAGCTCACGAGCTGACATTCGCCCCCGCCCTAAAGGAGTCCTCATCAAAACATAGTAAAACACAGCAATCGCAGCAATCACAAAAGGAACTCATGCAACACACAGGGGTCTACCTGGAAAAGAAAGGTGAACCATTCTTGTAGTGGGGAAATCCATCACCCCAAAAGGTTACACTGAAAGGAAGCGAATGGCGCCCCTCAAATGACCACGAAATCCAAATACAAACAGGTGGTTCATGGTGGTTCCAATGATTTCAGGGTGTAAAGGTTCTCCGCCCACTGGGCTTGGAAGCCCTATATTATAGATTGGAGGCCATCGCTCCTGGGTTGGGGGCCATCGCTACAAGGGTGGAGGCCATCGCTCTTACTTCTTCAAATCCTCCCCTTCTTCCAACGCCCCTGCCTCACTGGGCGGCCGACGAGCACGAGGCATGAGAGTCGCAGCTGCTCGGCGTGACAGCTCAGGCGCGACAGCGTGCCATGCTCGGCTGCCATGGGGACAGCCACTCTGTGGACCTCTCTTTGTTGGAGTTCAGCTTGGATTTGCTCCCAGGAACCGGTAGGAACAATATGATAGACACATATTCCCTGTGCCGGGGGATTCACCCATCGGGAACAAGCAAATCACCTGGCCGATGCCCGCAATTCCATTGGGACAGGTTTTGAAAGCTCTGGTCGCAGTTCTCGGTCATGTTCGGGTCGACCCAGCACAGAAACAAAAAACTGTTGATGTTCAGCATCTTGATGATCTTGATGCATCTTGATGCTGGATTGGTCCTGATGTGAACCCCCAGCTGGTCGACTCATCCGTTGAAGAGGGAAGACGACTCCTCTGTTGAGGACTGTGCGATGTGAAGACCGCATGTGATCCGCAAGTCCGGCAGTAGACGGGACTTGGTGGGTGGACTGGACTTGCTGGGCAGGCAGGAGTGTTCGAGTAGGTTTTTGAGACCCAGTGACTCACAAGTTACACAGGACTTACATAAAGTCGGGTCTAGGTCTTGCGTGGCTCAACTTTCCGACCTTTGAGTGGCTCCTTTTTGCCTGAATAAATTGTGAATGCTGCCACTGATCGACTCAACAATACTAAACACCTCAAGCAAATCTGCTGACAGGTCATGTGGTACAGATTGCAGCTGAGCCATTCCATTGTAACCGAAGCCTCCCCTCGTACAGTGTATCAGCCCAGTTTCTCCCAATGACGGCATATCCTGCATCAACCCTGGCCTCAAAATGAGAAGATGGGTCTCAAACATCAAAGTGACTTAAGTGCATGCGAATAGATGGCTCTTGTCACGTCTTGTCCTAAATTCCTTTCCACAACCATCCAGGACTCTTTTTCTTTCTGGGCCATCCAAGCCATTCTTACCCAATCAATCCAAACCAAACGAATAGGACGGGAATCGTATGGAATAGTTTCCACAAACATGCTACCCCATGAACATGACCCTTTTGGATGTCACTCTTCCAGTCCTGTCCCGTGCATTGCTGAAGTCCATCTGCGTCAATCTGCGTCAGTAGTTTAACATTGACACATCCAAATCCATCGTCACAATTGGGCAAGCTGCATGTGCTTTTGCTTCCTTGGCTTCGCTTGTAGACGTCGACAAAGCAAAGGACACTGGACTCTTGTCTTCTGAGAACTTGCCATCCACAGTGCAGCACTGGAATGCCAACTTCCAAAGCCACCTTCTTGGTTTCTTGGAGCAAAAAAAGGGCAATCCAGAATTCACCACACATATCAACAAATCCTACAGTCTTGTTCCTCAGTTTCTTGGTTTCTTGGAGGCAAGTCCACCACCTGACCAAGTCCACCCACACCCAGCAGCTGCCCACATTTTCTCTAGAGCTCTTCTTTGGAGCTGCCTGCAAGAAAGGAAGCGCTCAGGAAGCGTCGCGTTTCGCAGACCCCTCGACCCGCGAAACCGTGGTTCGTCGCCCCTTTTCGTCCAGTGAAGACTCTGATCCCAGCTTTCTCGTCCCAGTGCGTGTGTGCGAACGGTGCACCCATTTTTTTTTTCTGACCGGTGCCACTATGGCAATGTCACCTCCTTGCTAAGGACTTGCTACTAAGACCAGAAGCAAGGACACTACTAGTAGCTCCTGGCATCGCTACTGGGAACAAAGGGCATCGCTACTAGGAGCAAGGACGCCACTAGGGTAAAAACTTACTTCGTCAGCGTGCCACTTTTTTTGAGCTCCAAGGTGTCCCGCTCCGACCGCGTCTTCTCTTAGCATAGGTGGCAAGCCCGAATCACAGGAACCCAATCCAGGCCCAAACCCCATGGAACGGACGTTGATGGTCCGAGGTCATGGTCCACGGATTCTGAAAGAGGTTTCTCTTTCAATTTGGATGGTCTCTTCTTTTTGGGCAATATATATATATA